TATTCATGACGCATAATGTGTCCAACGTAGGAAGTTTTCCTAAGTTTAATGAGACCAGTCAAAATCGAACAGGTGTGTGTTAGAACTTCTTCATTGGTTGTCCTAGAGGTCCAGCTGATTCGAAGTTTTAATGTAGCATTTTAGGGTTCTCGGTCAGTGTTGGCAGCTGGAGGTGGCATAACAAATTGCACATGTTCGGTTCTTGCGATCTCAATTCTTCTTCTGATCTTTTTTGAGTGGTCTAGGTTATTCATATATGTAGCTCTTAACAGTCATAAAAAACTGAAGAAATTGTAGGAGGTCGCTAGTCCGCCCAATCGATATAATTTCCCTGTCTGAACAAGTAATCCACGAGCATTTAATATCCGCCAACCTTTTTTTCATGAATGGTTTATAACTTCTTCCATGTCTTTGGTCAAAAATTACTTAATTAGAATTAGCAAACCCTGTAAAATACTTTTTTTTCTAAAAGAAACTTCCGCAGGCTACTGTAATACTTTTTATAAAACTTCTGGATTCCTCCTGCGTCAGTTTTAGTCAAGCTCTGAAGAAGGCAACAGGATGATTGGCGAAACGTTAGCTAGTTCGACTCAACAAAAACCGACGCAGGAGGAATCCTGCAAAGTACTGTTACTATAGTAGACAAGGCACCATTACACCCATCTGAGGAAGCAGTTAATAGCCATCAAAATTTCAGGATTCTGTTTTTGCGCGTTTTTGTAGGTTAGTTCTTCAGGTGATTAACCAGAATTTAATTCAGAATCTCCATCATGGAGATATTGTACACCGTAAGAGCTGAAGATGGTTATCTCAGGAAAAAGTTGCAAAATTTAAAAAATAATTTCGAGGAGAATAGGCAAATTTCGTTTTTTTTTGCGTATTCTTATAAGTGAAATTTTTTAGTTTCCTCAACGGCACGTTATGGTAACCTTTAATTTTGCAACTTTTTTTTCAAATTTATCCATCTTCGTATCTCTTATGTTTTGCAATATCTCCATGGTAGACATTCTTCTCTTGGACATACTGTTTAATGGTTATACACAAAATCCTTTTGAAGTAGTGCAATTTAAAACATACAATGAACAATCTTGATCGATCTGTTAAGATCGTAACTTTAACACCATGGCCTGAGGTTTCCGAAACCGGAATAATTAGATAATGAAAATATTCTACTGGCAGAGGTTAAAAAGAAACTAATAAATCAGGATAATTTGAAACAAATCCCAGAGTACTTTATAGCAAAACATAATGCAAAGGCAGATGGTAGGGAGCAATATTGAAAATACGGAAGAATCGGTTGAATGTAAATAAATGTAAAAAGATTTGAAAAATCTCAAGGACAAAGCAACTGACATAAATAGTACATGGAAATCGATATGCATTTTGTAAAATGTATAGTAGACTGTTTATTATTAATTATTAATGTGATGTTAATTACGGCTTTTTGGATCAGTTTCATTTTATTTTTGCATTTTAAAACTTGCAATTCTGATGTAAAAACAGCCTCGTAAATATTATAATACGCCTATGTGCGTAGCATCTACCAGTTTGTTTAACTGAATTGTTATTGTGGATCGTTAAGCTGAAAAGCGAATTTAAATCACTCGGTTGGTTCGGAGTGACCTTTAAAAATCATTGGTCCGAAATAGAACGCGAGTTTTTTAAAGATCTTTAAAGTACTCCGCAGCCGGCCAAGAAACGGCAGCAGCTCTTCTGATGACGAATCAATTAGATAAAGAAAATGGCGAGGGACGGTTTTTGGTGATTTGCCAGCATATAATTGAACGCGGTCGTTCCGTACGGGGTGTTTTCTAATCGAATGTCAATATTGAAGTGACTGATTTGTGGATTTTAAAATAAATAAATTTTTAATATCTGCGCGCTAGGGACACAGGATAAAATGTTCCCTTGGGAAAATAACATTAACTTACATGTAATAATTTCCGACTTTGAAATATTTAATAATATAAGAATAAAATTGACAACAGAAATTTTGATAGATGCTTATCAGTGGGTGAATTAAAACCCAAATTGTTTTGAGCAAAATAAGACAAAAACATTTTGTATACAAAATCAAGGAATGCTACAGAAGTCCTGACCCAAGAACATGTACAAATTTAGAAAGATAACCCACTCGAAATGGGAATGTTTTAACAGTTTTCGTAAATCTCTGAAGAAAGTGAAAACTGACATCTCATTGTCATTGTCCAAGTTGGTTTATTATGAAACAACCAACGGTGTCCAGTCAATAGCAAAGCAGGTTTGTTTATACGTAATACATAATTATAAATTTAAATCCTTGGGCAACATTTTCCCTGTGGCTTCCCAAAATTATACATTTCGATCAGATCCCAAAGGTTGTTGGAAGACACTAACCACAAAAACACAAAACTTTTTTTAATTAATTCTCACCTGACACCATTGGTGCGTTTATTGGAAACCAATGTATTGTTACCTGAATATTTCCCTACCTTTGGAAGTATGCTAATGTTATAATACCTATGTCTAGGATAACTTCACCATGTGAAATCTCACATTTTCGCCACGTTAGTGTGTACCGCTAACAAAACTTTGGGAGGCATTAGACAAGACAAACCTAAGCGTCAACATAATAAGATCAGTGAAAGAACTATATAGAAACTGCCACATTAAAGTCAAGGTCGGCCAAAAAATATCCAATGGACTTACACCCAACAAGGAACTCAAACAAACAACGTATATGTGTATCGGTGGAGCACAACGTGACCTCCTCTTAGAGGATGGTCAGGCTATCGAAAGCTGCGAAACCTACAAATACCTGGGAATGCTGGCTATGCTTCTTGTGGGACCAAAAAATCACGAGACGAAACATACACCTAATATACAATACGATCATTAAAAGCATAGTCACATACAGCAGTGAAGTCTGGCCACTAAAAGAAAGAACCATGAGAACGCTGGAGGCAACAGAGATGGACTTTTGGAGGAGAGCGGCAGGAAGGTCAAGAACTGAAAGAGTCCCAAACGAAGCAATTCGCACAACCATGAAGGTGGGCCACACGATTTCAGACGAAATAAGAACAAAACAGTTAAAGTGGTACCGTCACGTCCAAAGAATGGAAGAACAGCGACTGCCTAAACAAATACTCACTTGGAGACCTACAGGAAGAAGGAAGAGGGGAAGACCGAGAAAGAGCTGGAGAGAGGGCATCGATAGTGAAATACAATGGAGACGACTGGACGAAGATCTGTGGAGGGACAGAGATCGATGGAGATTGGGAATCGGACGACGTCGGAGAACGTTTTAAAAACCGATAGATATATATAGTGTGTAATGTCTTAAAAATTGAAGGGGATTATATATGACCAACCTAATCATGTTGCTGATTCAAATGATGCTGATGTGCTACTTAGGCCTGAGCCCTATTCGAATGTACATGTTATTGCCTTTACCTGATAAGTCGCTGGTAGAGGGGTCAGTGGTGTCTGACTTTCTGCCCATTTTGAGGCGAATTCTTCGGGGCAGCATTTTAGGATCTTCGATGTTCTCGCACTATACTTTTCTAAGCATCCAAATAAATGTTATTTTCATTAGCATGCTGATGACATATAGGTACTTATCATATACATCGGAAAATAACACTGGTCGTTTATTGTGCTTGTCATTTTTTTTATTGTGCAATATTTAGTAAACCCTAATTCAAATACTGAAAATTATGAAATATACTTATGGTTCTCGGTCAAAGATGTTGCATTGTTTTTTAATGGCATAAATGAGATGGTTTCTAGAATCTATAAAGCCCATTGTCTGATATTAAATGATTTTAAAACGCAGGTTGTTTTGATTCTCACTTACAATTATTACTACCGGTAAACTGAAAGTACTTTACATGTATAAAGTCGACTTATCTACTGAGATTAAGACTTAATCTGCCTAAGATATTTTTTTGTACAGCTGTCTACCATAACTGTATAAAATTTCAATGGACCTTATTGCTTGTACCTCAACTTCTACATTCAAAAACAAGTTAAATTTTTCTATTAATTTCTCTTTGAGTGATTTTAAAATTCTGCTACATTGATTTGTGAATTTATATTTGTTAGTTTTTTTTGTTAAATTCTGAACAATCCGGGATGTACGTTATACCGGTGGTTATGTAGAGTAGCGCTGATCTCAGGATGTGTTTTTTTTTTCTTTTTTTTTAAGAATATTAATTTTTTCTACTAATTTCTCTTTGAGTAGTTTTAAAATTGTGCTACATTGATTTGTGAATTTATATTTGTTAGTTTTTTTTGTTAAATTCTGAGCAATCCGGGGGTATATTGTAGTACATTATACCGGTGGTTATGTAGAGTAGCGCTGCTGGCTGTTACTTCTATTGTGGCATATATCTGTTTTTGTATGTTAATAAAAGTATTTATTCTTATTGTTAGTTATGTAACAATAACAATACTTGTTTTGATAATAAAAATATAGGCGATATGTAAATATGCATGCTTCTCTTAAAGTTTACTAAATGTTATTTATCTTATCATGGGACAGTCTAGGGTTTAAATATTCCTATTCCAAAGTGCGCTTGTATCATTTTATAGTGGATTTGTATGTATTGTATTAAGCTTAATATTCAAATTTAACTAACGCATTGGTGAAAACTTCAATTCTAATTCCGATTAATAAATGAAGTTTCCCTCTTAAAATGAGCCGAAAAATCGTCCCCTTAAACATCGATGTTCAATTCGAAAACACGCTGTATGCACGATGTTGCAACTAGGCTTTTTAATATAGTTTTTTTTATCAACGCGACCGTTAATTGGTACGGAATTCTAAGAGAACATTATTACGGTCGAGTGATGTGCGGCACGAGATTGTTTATTACTTTCCAAAGGTCAGCGTTCCGTTGGGGCTTTTAATGTTAATCTTATTTTTGTGTACGTGCGCAAATAGCCGTGATTCATCATCGATCGACACGTATAAATAGAAACGCACCGTGGCTAGATTGGCCGGCGCATTTCTTTTTTACATGTTGAATATTAATAAATCATCGGACATGATCGGCGGTAGTGGGTGGTGTACGTTAACTTATTACGTGAGGAACACGAGAAAGTGTGTTCGGTTCAGTGAACGATGAATCGCAACGATAAGTCGCAGCGACTGTTCCCGGATGTGTAATTTGTATGAATTTTAAATAATCAGAATCATTGCCCATCGTGCTTGGAGTTCCATAACTTATTTATTTATTTTTTTGTTTTATATACCGGGTGTCCCAGTAAGAGCAACGAAATACGGTATCGGGGAGACATATATTCCTCAAAATTTGAAAAAAAATTAAGAAGAAAACGTGCTGGAAATTATTTTTCAGCTTTCTAATTGACCACCGGAAAGCGTAATTGCTATTTTTCATTTTAAAACTCTTTTTTTCTGCAAAGTTTTCGTATTTTAATGAGTGAATGCGATTTTAAAGCTGAGACAAATTCAAATATTTTAGTTCAATGCTTTTTACTCTATCTCTTAAAGGAAAGTGGTATCTTAATTAATAGAGTTTAATAAACTGGGAGTCGTTAAAATGGGCTTTTCGAGGCATAAAATCAGGTCATGTGACATAGGTACCTTTCATATGAAAAAAGAAAATTCCTTTGCTGTTTTTATATTTAATCATTTATGTGGAATCAGTAAAATCAATAGGAAATCTGTGAAATCTTATGGTCGTTTGAAATTTGGATGGTGATTTGCCCCTCGTGGTTTTTATTTTGTGTATAAAAATAACATCATTCATTGCAGTGGTGTCCCAGAGGATAACATAATCGATGTTTATCCGGTTACGCGACTGATTTTTTGAATATTTAACATTTCTTAAAGAACGCAATCAAAAAACGATTTTTTTTTGTTTCTTCGGTTTTTTTGTATCTAACTTTGTCTTCAAGAAAAAAAACTGGGCATCCTTATTTGACGTTGACGTCATAAGAGACTTATTTATTGTGATTAGAATAAAATGACTAATTCCAGGTTTGTGAGCCCAACTACAAAATTATAATTATCATAAATTTTATACCCAACTTAACTAACTAACTAATTGAGAGAGTAGACTATTTAATAGTAATGTTTTTTGTTTAACGTTTCAAATTATGCAATGGAAATTATGCATATTCAATCGGAATCGCATTGAAAAGTTTAATTCCATCAAAATAATTATTATTTTGGCCAACAGCGTTATTGAACCTGGCAAATTTATAACATAAAACGTATAACATATAAGCGTTTTTTGGAGTGGAGTGAGCATGACCTTCTTTTTAAATTTTACTGCATTTTCAGAATTCACAAAGGTCAAAATAATACGATTCGCAAATACTCTATAGATATTTATCGCTGTACCTATAAATATTTTATATATAGGATGGCCAATATTAGAGGAACAATCCTTATGATTTTTTTTTGTTAAAATTTCATAAACATATTCTAGGGCTTTCCTTATTTTGTTCTAACTTCAATTATCGAGGTGATACTGATTGTCAAAGTCTAATTCCAACCTTATTTATAATGAAATGACTTTTAAAATGAAACGATCGCATTTACGTTTATTTGCGAACTTTTGCGTAGTAAATTTAAAAAGGTTTACGCTTCATTTTTTCTTGCAGAGTCATGACGGATACGAGTCAGGCGGACGAGTTGCCGCCGGCGACTAACGGCGTCGCGACGGACAACGGTTTCATCGTCGACGACGATCAGCGTGCCAAGATGCGACCAGCCGACATCGACGCCGACGTCCGCGAGATGGAGCGTCGGAAGCGGGTCGAGCTGATCATGAACAGTAAACTTTTTCGAGAGGTCAGTGATTCATCATTAAAAATACGCGAAAAAGCTCGACGAAATCGACATCACTTCATTATGGCATTAGAACGTTTCTTTAGTACATTTTTTTAAACGTGTGCTGTGCTTTTTTGACGAAAAACGCTATATAAACTAATATTATTGAAAAAAAATCTGTTCCCCAATAAAATTTATGTTTTCCTATACAAAAAATATGGGAGTCAAATAAAAGTAAAAAGTAATATTTAATAAAAAGCAATTCAAAGTAATTTCCTATGCAATCGATACAAATAAATTATGAACAGAACCAATTTCTCCATTTCTGGATCAAGATCATCCAAAAGTAAAAGTCATCATAAAAATTAGCTAGATTATGGCAACCACAGAACTGTCAATATCTCGCAGACGTTGTTTAAAGCTTAAATCTTGTATCAATTTTATAAATTTTTATAAAAATTTAGAAAACTTCAATTATTCAGTGAATTATAAAAACTTTTTGGGAGGTCGAATTGAATTAAAATATCAATATTTTAAGTAACTTTTAACCACGCTTACTTTATAATGCCATAATATATAAATATATATCGAAAAATTTTGTACATAAATATGAAAAATTAGAACGTTCCTTTAGTACATTTTTTTATACGTTCTGTGCTTTTATGACAAAAAACCCCATATAAAATAATATTAATTAAAAAAAAAAATTTTAACTTAATATAAAAAATATTTCTGGCAATGCTTTATAAACAATTTTTTGGAGGTCCAATTTTTGAAGGAGCTTTTAACCTCGCCTAATTTATAAACCTGTAATATATAAATAGAAATCTTTTTTGAATTAAGTTTTACGTATTTCTCCATTTTAAAACATCGTCATTAAAAATGGGCGAAAAACCTCGACGCCGTCGACGTTACTTCATGTTTTTCATGCTGTGTGCTGTGCTTTTTTGACAAAAAAACATGTCTTTGTTAAATATAATATGTAAAAAAGAACATATTAGATCCAGATTTTTTTTTACAGTTATGATTAAATATAAAAAAGTTTTGTTCCGGAATAAAATGTATATTTCCCTTTGAAAAAACATATGGAAGTCGAATAAAGTAAAAAATAATATTCAATAAAAAGCAATTCAAAACTATCACACGAGATATCAATATCTACGCCGAGTTTTTTTAAAATAGATAGAAAATTTATATCAATTATACCCAATATACGTTAATTATAGTTGATATTTTAACGCAATATAAAAAATGTTCCTGGCAATGCATTGTATACAATTTTTTGGAGGTCCAATTGAATTAAAATATCCAACAGGATGATAAGAGGCCGTTAGTCGCACAAGGCCTAATTTATTTTTAAAATACTATTAAATCAAGTTTTTTTTTTATAATCTAGTGTAATTTTTTTGTTGTTGTCAAAGGTAATCAAATCTATACACTATGCAATGGTTCAAACTTCCCCCACCCGTGCCAAGTGATTGCAAACAGATTAATCCTGTCGTAATTTAAGTAAAACTGATTTTATTGTCACTTACATGGTCTGATTAAAGTGAGCTCAGAAATATGGCGTTCACTTTGTTTAGGATTAAACGCATTGCAATCACTTGGAAAAGAAGAAAGAACACAGCACACATACATTTATTCTATCGAAATAGTTTTCCAATCACTTTCCCCACCATACATGCCAAGTGATTTCAAACATAACCTCAAATTATATGTTTATTATTTCGATGTGATTTAAGTGAGCAAAATTGATCAATTGGCAAGTTCGGCGTTCACAACTGTTGTGTAAGGCTAACTACCCCCAACCACACGTTGAGCATCTATTCACCTCTGTTTACATTTAAGTCGCAGAGCATCAAAAATGAGGAAGTTTGATTCCTTTAATAGAAGCAGCAGTTCTAAGAACTACTTTTCTGTTTCGGTACTGATTTTTCTTTATTAAAAATAAATGAAGTATTATGGAAGATGACATATTGTTTGCCAGTGATATTCTGCAATAAAAGTTTCTACTACTTTTTTCAGTAACTATATACATCAAAAATTTTGAAAGAACATTACTATTTTGTTTCCCACATTCGATAATTTTTTTCTTCTTCGCTGCGATTGATGTTCAACGGCTCGTTCATTCGCATCGTTCGGCAGGAATTGCTGATGCATCACTAAATAGTTTTGCACGGCTCAACAAGCCCGACGTCAATAACATAATTTTTTTTTCACCATACAGGAACTAGAACGGATCATCGAAACCCAACTAAAAGACGGCACCGGGACCAGCGGCCTCTTGCAACAGATCTCAGATATGGTCGGCGTCAACAAGCAAGCCGGCAACGTGTTCAAAAACTCGAGCTGCGTTCTGCCCATCAACGATATCAGAGGTACTTTTATTCACTTGTTCATTCTCCCCTCTCGTTTGGGTAATTAATTGACGCGTATCGGCAGGAATCGAATCGATGGGGTACGCGAAGGGCGAGAAAATTCTCAGGTGCAAACTGGCCTCCGTCTTCAGACTGATCGACTTGTACGGATGGACTCAGGGTTCCGGCACTCTCATCACGGCCCGTCTGAACCAGGACGACGAACAGTTTCTCGTCAACCCTTACGGGATGCTGTTCCACGAAATCACCGCGTCTAGTCTGATCAAGGCCGATATGCAGGTATACTTGGACCAGAATTATAGTGCTTTTGCAACCGACCCCGTGATTAACTTTGCCTACTGTTTATTACTCCTAATTACACTAATAAGCGGGATCAATATTTTTCGCCGAACAATTCTTGAAACCAAAATTAGTACAAAGTAACAATTTTTTACGTTCTATGTCACTTGTTTTTAATGCTGTGCCTACTGAATTTCTTATAAAATTGTAAACATTCAAAACAATTTGTTTAGCATCCGAAGACAAATGGATCCATTGTTTTTATTTGCTGTGGTAGTTTGTCTTCTAAATTGTCATTCATTCGTCTTCGAATTCTGCGTTGTTTTCCATGTTTTCTTTTAACAGAGGGACATCTGCTTAATTCCACGGTCGCCATATATATATATATATATATATATATATATATATATATATATATATATATAAACTTTTCAAAATTGGGCCCGTTTCTTTATTATATTTTGAAAATGAAAGAATGGCGTGAATCCTTCCACTAACTGTCCGGAAAAGTTCCGCTTTCCTCGTTAATTAAAACTCGAAACTATTAAGATTTCTTGAATGGTCCAAATTGCTTAAAGATCTAGGAAATACTTTATTACTCGGGAGAATGTAAATTTGAAATGATATACAGGGGGCGCTATTTAAACTAAAAAATATGTTGCATCGTTTATATAGAAACGGCAACACTGCATATTTCAAAATATTTCAGAACGATAGAGCACCTCCTCTAATATCACCCTGTATAATTTAAAATAACTCCGTTGATCCGTGCGTCGGATTCTTTTGATAGGCCCTCCACTAGTGCTCCACCCTGTATAGTGTTTTTATTTTTATGTTTTCGTTATTTTGGTGATGTACAGCGGGCAACATTGATCAAATTTATTTTTTGCGATTGTGGAAACGAACCTTTGGATAATCTATGTTATATCTCAAATAATGGCTTTCGTTATTATTCTTGGCCATTATTTTGTCAACACTTAATATTTTAAATAACTATTGTGTGTCTTTTCTGCTTGAAAAATGCAGTGCAATAGAAAGAATGCGATTAAATTACTGGTATAGAAAATTTCTGGGTAATTGCATTTTTTTTATGGTTACGTTACACTTTCCACTACCACCATCTAGGGTTAGTTTTGGTTAGTTGACCGGTCACATGTTTTTCGAATTTGACCAGTCAATTAGCGGTCAATTGATTAGTCCCAACACTACGACCATCAGAAAATTTGCTGCGTGGTCTCACTAACTCGATAGCGGAGTAGAAACAATAATTTTCGTTGCAAAAATGGCACACACTATGCCTAGATAATTAACTTTCACCTATGGCCTTTTTAAGAAATCTCTCTCTCAAAATTAATGACAAATGGCAAATATCTATTTAATATATCTTTGGTAACTAATGTGTTGGTTGTTATTTTTTGTAGGTGTATAGTTAGTTCGTGAATAAATAAAGGGGATGAAAAATGGGTATAACTATAGGTGGAACTAATTATTTATGTAGGTAAATCTGAGCTGAATAACTATTTGTGATAATTTTATACAAAATGGAACGTAGTGATTAAAATTGTGCGTTGTTAATTAAAATTCTGAATGTTCAAATGCGGCTTTAACGAGGTAGCAGGGGTCAAATGTCAGTTTAAAGAGAATTTTTGTCAATTCTACAAATGGAATATATAAAACTTTCTTTTGATTCCATGATTTTTTTTTAACGATTTGAAAGAAAAAAAAACGATGTATAAGCAAAAGGATCTTCCTGAAAACCTGGTGTGCACATTAATTTTTCAAAATTTAATTTAGTGTTGCGCATCTAAGAACGACCCATTGCGCACTAATGGCAACTTGATAATTTTTGTCGACGTGACGTTTATACGTCTGAAATCGAGAAGATTTCTGTCGCGAAACGTAATCAGCATCGTTCCCAGAGCGTGAACGCGAGTGTGCATTTAAAAACAACTTTAACCAGCGTTAACAACACAAACAAATGACCGTAATCTGTTTTTTTTTATTGTTGTTGCTTTTCGTAACAATGGGAAGAACGAGGCCGTAAATCGTTTCTCTTGGTTCGTGATTAGATCATCCCGTTTAACCCAAACTCATTTGAGCTGACAAATAAAACGAAATTAACGTATCGATTGATCGATATGGATTTATTAAGGCGAGGACAATTACGTTAAATTTGCCGTGTTTTACTGCGCTAAATCTTAATGTTGCAGAACACATTTTGCTTAAAAAAATTTATCGCGCAATATAATTAAAATGCTCTAAGAAACCAGGTGATTTTACTAGCAACAGTTTGCGAAACAATCGGTATCAATAAAATTTTAAGTGAGAAATTTTCAATCTCGACTTAATATTGATTGCTTAATTTTGCCTTTTTTTCGTGGTTATAAAACGAAACAGTTCGCATCAACATTACCCCATCACTAAAAGTTTGGTCGGCAAGTTAATTTTTTCGCGACCTGCTGATTCGATTTGGATATATATATATATATATATATATATATATATATATATATATATATATATATATATATATATATATATATATAGTGTTCGAAGTGTTTTCGGAGCGCGAGCATTGAAGATGCCAAGTGAGATTTTGGCGAAACGTCTGCAGGATTCCAGTCGGATGCAAGATTTGCAGGATTCCAGTCGGATGCAGGATTCCAGTCGGAGTTCAACGAGCGAACGGATGATATCCCGGAATATAGTGTCATCACATTTTTCCATCCGTGAATCAATACGTGAGAATATATATATATATATATATATATATATATATATATATATATATATATATATATATATATATATATATATATATATATATATATATATATATATATTTTTTTTATTCTAGCTTGAATCTTAATAATTTTTTTTTTTTGCGTGTACGCAGTTTTTAAATTAACATCACTTCTATACTCAATGTTTGTCAAGTTCTGTGGGAATTCTTCTCAATATTATTAGATGCCTTTATCTCCGTTATTGCACGGAATACTAAATTTAATGTTATGCATAACAATTATAGCTTATTATAAGAAAAAATAAACAAAATCATAAACATCAAAATCGTTATAACGGATCGAAACATATTTTGAATGAGACATTTAATTTGTGCTTGATCGATATTAGTCCATATTCCCATGATAATATGTTCTACGTCATTCAAGCTGCCTGCCCCGTTCATGTTATATTGGTTTGAGGTTTTGACTGCGTGGAAGCCTATTCTTGCATTAGTTGTGGCATTATCAAAGTCCAATTACAATCTGGCAAACTTATTCGTTCGTTTTGACATTAAATTCAGCATTTCATTTAATAACAGTGATAAAGACGTGAATAAAAAAATAATATGCAGAGTGTTGATATTAATTACCAGAGAATGTGACAAATATTGAGTATAAAATTGTTTTTTTTTAACGGGTCTGTCTAATAAAAATTTAATGAAATATAAATCCAAATAGAATCAGCAGTTCAGCTCGTTTAATGAGAAGTGACTTTTTTCTTGATTTTTTTAAATTTTCTATCGATATTTAAATTTGTTTGTATTTGACTTTTTTGTTGCTACACATTTCGCGCGAAATTGCTGTAAGTGGAATGAAATATTCAAAGTAACACTGGCATAATTAATTGAAAAATAATAAAGATATCAGATGATTATTTGGTAATTATTTAAAAATTAACTAGAATGGCTGTGAACACATAAAACATTGAAAAAGCACATTTTAAAGGCTTTTATTAAAAAAAAACAATATTACGAAAATGTTGTGTGGAAATGTGTTTAAAATGACCGGAAAAAAATCCTTATTGCTTTGACATAAAAGAAAATTATGTGTGAATCTCCATTTAAGAATTAATAGTGAAGTACCTTTATTATTTATTATTGTCACACTTTTTTTTAATACTTTTTCAAAGTTAAAAAAAACTACCTTATCTTAGTGTTTCTCAAACACCGGTCCTCTAAAAATCCAGCTATCTGGCCAAAATCCAAGGTGTCAAAAAAGGTCGATATCGCAACATTTTGATCTAGGATGAAACAAAACAGATAAACTGGCAACTATGTGCTATAACTACTAATAACCAAAATGACTAAAAAGAAAATGAAAGGCACATTACTAAATTTCGCAGCAAAGAAATTGTCCCCGCAACTGGAAAACATTCTTCTGGATTTGGTAAGAATTGTAAATTTTATCAGAAGTAAAGAAAAGTTCTTAAACGACTGTATAAAAAAAAATCAAGTGCAATTAAATCTGGAGGGATCATTGTTGAACAGACATTTTCAAAACAAGGAATGCGTAGCCTAGCTTTCATAGATATCAGATATATTTTCACTGATAAATGAACTAAATTTAAGTCTCCAAGGTAAATCCAATACCGTTTTCTACTTTTACAATAAGATTGCTGCTTTCAAGAAGCAATTGAAATTCTGGTAAAGACGTGCGGAAGAAAACACTTTTTCTTTGATTACTTTAATACTAATGACGTGGATCAGAAGAACGTTATCAGCGTTATTTTGGTGCATTTAAATGAACTGTCAATAGTTTTTTATCAGCATTATCCCCTAGAGGAAGATGTGCGTTGGATAACCAATCCATTTATTAATAATTATAATTACAGCGTCACTACAGTCGAAGAAACAGAACTTATTAAACTGTCTTCAGATTTGGGAATTCAATCACAGTTTAATTCAGTAAATATATATCAATTCTGGATAAAGACTGCAACGGAATATCTCAATTTTGTTTATTTTGTTGTCTTATTTGGGGAACTAGTTTAACGCCTTTAGTCAGCAACAAAGACCACCATCAATCTCATTAATTTTAGTTTATATATATCTTTTAGTATGGCCAATTAGTTTTTTTTATTTTGGATTTACTTACGCCGTTTACATTTCGATTCATTGTTATTTTTGCTGATATATTAATTTAAAAAAATGAATATATCGTTCATATCAATCATATCATATCGATAAAAATAAAAATTATAATGATGTACTGATTATGTATATACGAACCGACGAATATGAGGGTTACACTAGATTATTGCACTTTGTTGAATGATTTTTAGATTATTATTAAGCAAGCACCCTTGAGCGTGCGATCCTGAATACCTGTTAATTAGAAAAAATAATATTAATAAAAAATACATATATACATCCTATAAAGCAGTCTTGGTATAATAGTATGATGTAAGTATAGAGATTTTTTAATGTAAATATTCGTTTTTAAGTACTATGTACAGCTTTAAACCATGAACGGGTGGATTTCCACCTCTTTGAAAATGCTCAAATGCTTTGAAAATTATGATTTATCTTTGGGAAAAATTGCTCCCATTGTGAAATATTTTCCTGGTCCTTGGAGTAAATCCAGTTGAGAAACACTAATCTAATTAAAAACTGAATTAGAAATTTTGTTGCAAAAAAAAACATATATTTACATTTTCCGTTCTTTCCAGGGGAGCGTGATCGAGCAAGGGACCACCAACTTCTCCGTCAACGTGACCGCGTTCTCTTTGCATGCGGCGGTGCATGCTGCCCGACCTGACCTCCGGTGCATCATCCACGTGCACACCCCGTCCGTGGTCGCGGTATCAGCACTGAAACACGGCCTGCTGCCCCTGAGCCAGGAGAGCGTAGTCGTGGGCGAGATCAGCACCCACGCCTACCTCGGCGGTCTGCTCGACACCGACGAAAAAGACAAACTGGCCAGGAACCTGGGCCCCATCAACAAGGTGCTACTGCTCGCGAACCAGGGAGCGTTGTGTTGCGGGGAAACGATCGAGGAGGCCTTCTTTAACGCCCGCAACACCGTCCTAGCTTCCGAGTCGCAACTCAAGCTCCTCCCACTCGGCATAGATAACCTGGTGGTGCTCAACGACGAGGCGAGGAAGAAGATATACGACGCCGCTCACCGGGCCCCCGAGAGCACCCCCAGGCCCGATCAACCGTCGATCTTGGAGGGCAAAGTGGAAAGGAAGTGGAGGGTGGGCGGGGTCGAGTTCGAAGCGCTCATGCGGATGCTGGACAACGCCGGATTCCGCACGGGCTACATCTACAGGCACCCGTTGGTGAAGGGGGAACCCCCGAAACCGAGGAACGACGTCGAAGTACCCCCGGCCGTTTCATCCCTCGGGTACCTGCTCGAGGAGGAGGAGCTCTACAGGCAAGGGTAAGTTCGCTAGCTGGCTGGGCAATGATACATATATCCAAAAATATTTCCCTTAAAAATTCTCAATGTCAAAATATAAATTAAACTTAATTTCGCAAAACCAATGTACCAGTTAACAAATAAGAAGTTAGCTATTTTCTTTTTTCAAATTTCAAATATGTAATGTTTGATATATAGCTTTTCAAATATTTTTAAGTCTGACATATGTGAGGTCCTATCTCTTATGGTTACTGTTTAAAAGTACTTTTATTCATTTGTCCGAGAAACGTTAAAAGTATAAAAGTTGTGTTTCTTTAAATTAAACTCTTTTTATGTTATAACTTTTTTGGATTCTAGTTTTGTCAAAATTTAATCGAATTTAATTTTTCAAATATATAAGAAGTATTTAATATATATCAATAAAAGTTGCAGTGCAACAATAGACCATATTGTAAATCCCAATTATGAAAAAACTTCAAATCTTATAGAGTGGCCCAAAATTTCAAGTGGCTAATACTTGAGTTTTAATTTTACCCAACTTTATTAAAAAAAAAAAGTATTTTCTGGGCTATTTGACCTAATGTAAATTTAAATAAGTGGTGTAAATTTTAATATACACGTTTTCAAAAAGTTTTGCGTCTGAGATAACAGGACTTTTCAAAATTAATTTCGTAATGTACAGGTTTTCCCAAAGTATTAAAAGTATCAAAGTTGTGTTTTTTTTTAATGGAACTGTCTTTTTGGGTATCAGCGAATAAAAAACTTCCCTACTTATACACAATTTATCTTAATCCAATAACATTTTTCAGCTAATTTGGATATAATATATATTTAAATACATTTCTTAACATCATCTAACTATTTTAACGTGTTTATATTTTGATTTTGTTTGCTTTTTTTGCGCAAACATGTTTATTTTAATAAAATATGTAAATGAATGAAAAATGTAAAGTACAAATTTTCAAAAAGCCTTACGTCTGGGATATGTAAACTGTTAAGTTTCAAAGTTATGTTTTTTTTTTAACCATTTTTGAATTCTACATTTAAAATAACTTTGTGTTTCGATAGGCTTTTTGGTGCCTTAAGATCTCAAAAATAATTTGGGGTTTCTGAAAATATATCTATATTAAATCTCTCAGCAAAAGTTACATTAGAGTATAACAATAGACAATCCATTTCCATTCTGTTATTACCAAAACACAGCTTCAACAGACTACAAGAAAAAATGACTTAGAACCAAGTTAGTACCTAATATGAAACTCGACATATCAAAATAAGAAAAATGAAATATATTGTTACTATAAAATGATTTGAATAGAATAGTTTCATAACATTTTAAAGAATTTTATACAATATACATATTTGTTGCACCCGTTAGTTTTTAAACATACCATAAAATTTGCTTCAATGCAACGTCAACTCGTGTTAAAACATCAGAGAAATATGTAAATAAGCAGACCTTTCAGGAAAAATCATCTGTCATTTATTTAGATTACATTATCTTAAGCCGTTCGACAGGTAATTGAGATGATAAATATGGTATATGCTACTTTTAACACTTTTTACACAACCTGTGCAATATGAAAGTAATTTTTAAGAAATTACCATAATCGATAACCACCCATTTTATATTTTTCCACAATATCCCATGCCCTATAGAGCGAATAACCCTGTTTTTAATTATTTTTGCTTTAGGCTCTGGCGCAAGTTGGAGGGCGGCAGGAAGGGTCACGACCGTAGCCGTTGGCTGAACTCCCCGAACGTCTACCAGAAGGTGGAAATATTGGAGACGGGCACTCCCGACCCCAAGAAAATAACCAAGGTAGAAATCATTAAATTCGAAGATAAGAATTAAATATATAGTCCACTAAGAGTTTATTGTTAGTAATCTAAGAGCTTTTACGAAATGTTTATTGATAGGTTTAAATTGTCCAGAGTTTGGGGAGGGGGTGATGGGGAGGCGCCGTCTTTTGAACCTAACTGTTGTTCTATAGGCGGTACATTTGAACTACTCACATCCGAACTAGTTTGCTGGCCGTTAGCTCATAATAATGTTACATACATTCCTTAAGATGTCGGCTTCCTCACACAACCCTTGATATTGCTGATATTATTTTCTTGCTTATGGTTGGAGTCATAATTTTTTTTGTTACTCTGACCTCGTGCGTGCGTTGACAGCGGCATTTGCTTTTAGCACGCAACACTTTTTCATGCAGAGAAAGCACAAACTGGTTCCTATTTAGTATCATTTTTCAGTTAACCCAAATTGATATTTTATTTGAAATAAATATACACATTAGTTTATAAACTTAAACATGGAGCACAACACTAAATGATGGTTATACATTCCGAGCTTGAATAGTTTAGTTTAAATTTAAGTAAACATATTTTTGTGGTTGTGTATTGTCGAAACGATGTGCCATTTTGTTTGGGAAGCTTTTTTCATTGACGGACTAATTATTTTTTCGCTAATGTTAAAAGTAAGTGTGATCAGTGTCGTGTAGATGTAAGAATTCCGTTATCACTCATTTCAACTCATTTAGCAAAACATTATACTTTCTGCTTCGGCGTGATTTAAGATCAATAAAATATTGAAAATGACTTAGCGGCGTGGACTTTTTATTCGCCTCAAGAATTTCTGACAGTGTGCCCGTGATTTTGTGTCAAATGTCCGCCTTCGAGGCGGGACGGGAACGGCAAAACCAGCACACGGCGGAATGTCGACATTGCACTAAAGACGGGCACACACGCGCGCGTTTTACCGTCCGCTATCGCCGAGCCGCTTTTCGTTTGTCGCGCGCGTTTCGAGGTCGTTGCTGACGTGCTGGTTTTGCTGTTTCAGTGGGTCGCGGAGGGATCGCCCAGCCATTCCAGCACGCCGGTGAAAATCGACTCCGCCTTGCAGTTCGTTCCGCAGGGCACCAACCCGAAAGAGTTCAAACAGAAACAGCAACAGGTAAGTCCTTTTTTGTTTGCGATAAGAAGGTAAGTGTGTTAACACTGTAAAAGAACCCGTATTTCTAAATTATTTTATAAAATTTAGCTGAGTACGGCTGTAAGGGAGAAGTGAGCTGTATAGTATTTTAGTTTTTAAGTTCTAGCTAAATTTAAAGCAGCGCAGCTTTCAGAAAAAAAAGCTAATGACATGCGCTTGCATAAAAACGAATCCAAACAAATATATTAGCTGGCACTAACAGTATTAATTATCAATATTGAAAAGCAGTAAACAATTTTTATTTTTGTAATTGTTTATTTTATTATTCTATCCTTAGTCTTGCTAACTTTCTTAAGTGGGGTGTGATTTAAGCCGCAACCGCAACTATGTAACTGGGGGCAGACTGGCTACTCTCACTTAGGGTGGTTTTTAATTTAATTAATTTCTATTGTATTCTTCTTTTTACACAAGAAAAATATGATTAACACACAACACGGTACTCTTTTAAAATGTTTCCGTTGATGGGTAGAGCCTAGAGTTGAAGGACGTAAAAAATATCATTCTACCTGCAAAAATAGCTTCTTAACGTCTCAACCAACGTTTAGGTAGAATTGCACGAGCCCAAATATGTCTTTATGGCAAAAAGCTAAGTTATCGCGAATAAATACAAAAAACTAAAAAAGACAAAAAAACATATATATAAATAAACTATGACAAAATAACACACATAACAGAATTTAAAAAAATAGCAATAAAAATAAACGCTGCAGGTAGGTACGGGGTTTTTATTTGTATTTTGACACTCGCCTACAGAGTTTATTAATAGGCATAGGCAGACCTTTTTTAGGACAAGCTAATTCTCGAATATTATTAAGGACATGATTTTTGTAACCCCCCAACCCTCTTGCCGTAATTTTTTATTGTTTAAAATCTGGAAAGGAACCGTTCCTTTATATTTAGGTGAGTAACAATATAAAAACAAAATTCTCGTTGTCAATGTACTTGGCGTACACACATTTTAATGGAGGCTCCAAGTTTGCTTAGATTTTGTGTTTGGACGTATTAAAATTTTTATAAAGGTTGCCAAAACATTTTTTTCTGGTTTTTCAATTTTTATAGCACTTTTTAGATCTTTTTTAAATATCCCTTGAGGCACTGCGTGTCCCCGCATAAAGAGTTCTGAGCACAGGAAAAAATTTTTTTACATGAAAGTTGTATGGTTTTTTCTCTATTATCTGGAATGTAAAAAACGACAATTTCACTTTTTTTGTTTGCTTTTGTTTTGTTTTAGTTGATTTCAATTTCAATTTCACAATTTCAATTTCACAATTTCAAACATGAAATTGTGAAATAATTTGGTTTTTTATTCAAACAATGAAAACGCATCGCAAGTTCTACTTGAATATCACCAACGTTTTCCCTTACAAAGTATACTGAATATTGAATAATAAACGAGTTACTTCAAAAATCCCCCAACAAACTATATATTTTTGAAATCGAATCTTTACGACGATCATTTGCTTTTATTATTCGGAAGATAATGGAAACGAAATCATAAAACTTTTAGTTATTTGCAAAATTTTTAGATAGCTCTTTTCATGATCTCCGAATTCTAGTGTCACAATAAAAATAAAAACCTATATTCGACATATGTATTACTCGAAGAAGTCATTTACGGAAGACATGGACTTTTCTGGCTGATGGTTTTTCAAATATTTTTTAATCGTTTCCCACTCCACTTGTTCATGTTTGTTAATTTTCCCAAACTTAACCGACGACTTAGATCAAAGACTACAGGAGGGCGGACAAAATATCGGCCGGGCCGCAGTCGCACATCCTCGAGGGCGTGACGTGGGAGGAGGCGCGCAAAATGCAAGACGCTACAGTGACCCAGACCGGGGATCAAGTGGTCCTAATGGGGGCCGCTTCCAAGGGCATCATTCAGCGAGGCCACCAGCACAACGCGACGGTCTACAAGTCGCCCTATGCGAAGAATCCGTTCGATTCGGTGACCGACGAGGAACTCGATGAGTACAAGAAGGTGGTGGAGCGGAAAACCAAGGGAGATTGTGAGTCGCTCGGCCGTCGTCGGGTTTCCTCGTTTGACATGTCACGTGGTTTTTGCAGACGACACGGACTACAGCGAATCCGAAGGGTTATCCTCCGCTCAAATCAACAAGAGGATGGACGGGATTCATCTCAGGTCACCGACGTCCGTTACCAGCGAGACAGAGGAGGAGAGCAGGGATGGTAAGTGCTGATTGGTATTGTGTTAAGCCCCACTCACTCGTCTCCACCTATTACACCTTAGTAGGAGTCTAGGTGTACATATATAATACCCTGTGGGTACGTTTGAACTATTCGAATGAGCATAATTTGAGTATATGATTGCCCATCTATCATTAACACCAAGGGCTTAAATTTTTTTGAAAAACCAGCAAATTCCTAATTTACAGCGCCCTAGAGCTCTCACATTACTCGCGGTGCTCTATCGACCCAAAGTTAAATTATGTAATTAATTTTTGCGAATTCGTTTTTTCATTTTTTTTTCCCAGAACCGCAGATCCTTCGGATAGAAACGAAAACGGCTCCGAGACCAAGCCAGCCGGAGGTGGTATTGAGTGACGGTAAGTTCTCCACCTTGTTTTGCCACTTAGGTAATTGAGCGAGACGTAGGGAGAAAGAGAAATTCGTTTTTTTTTTAATCTAAACTGAATTTTCACTTTTTGTAGCTAGTGGTACATTAAATTGACGGGCTGGGGGTAAGACATAGTCTCCAATCAAATAGTTTTTTTACATTAGGAAAAAGAGTTTGTTGTTCTTTTTTTATATGTTACGATTGGTGTTAACTCGGCTAGTTTGTGCCTGGTTATTTTGAAGGAAAATTGCTTGGTTGTATACTATCCAGAGTTAGTTTGCAAACAATTTATACGAGATTTACCGCCAAAATATAGACCACAAGAAATGTGTACAAATTAACCTGTGGTTTTTGACTATTTCACAAAAAACTCAATACATTGATAACTCAGTTCTACTTAGTGTTCATTTTTGAACTACTAAATAAACTCAGCCTAAACAGACCACCACATACTTCGAGAATTTGAACTTTTCCATACAACTTTTCATTATACAAATTGTGGTTGTAATAACTCATTTCAGAGAGCTTTACCATTTTTAAATGAGCACCGTGAATATAGATCCTTTTCACTTAAGTTTAACTCCAGACTGTTTTTGTTGTTATTTTTACATATCTCTAGGTGTATAACATTTATAAGGAAATAAACAAATCTTATGCAATATTACTTAAAAATAATGAAAAATTGTTTTGCGTTTGAGTGAATTTTATGATGTCATTAAAGCTGTCCAGGAAACTCAGCACGGTGACAGAGCTAGATGGTCAGTTATGAACTGCACTTGTTTATCTACATGTGTGCTAGAGTAATTTCATAAATAAATAAATATTTGGCAATATTCCTTAAAAATAGTGAAAAATTATTTTGCGTTTGAGTGAAATTTAAAGCTGTCAAGGAAACTTAGCACAGAGGTCGTCAAGTTTGTTATGTGTTATATTTAAGTAGCACTAGCAATGTCACGTTGTATCTAATACTACCTAGCCTAAACTTTATTTTTGCCTAAGAATTATTTTACTGAATGAAATGAACTAGACAGGATCGGTTAGTTTACATACCTTCCAAACGATGGATTATTGAAAATATTCAGTTCTTCAGTTATTCAAATTTTAGCCGAAAATTTTGTACTAGCTGGGTAGTATACCAAAAAATATTTTGCTTTAAAATAACCAGATATTTCGGATAGTTTGTATACCATCCAATCAGCGTCTAAACTAGCCCAGCCGCGTTAACTCTGCAGCCATAACATATATAAATAGAAATTGCTTTATAGCCGTTATTTCGATTCAAAGTAGGTACCCTAAACAAGAAGGTTTAATACAGTTTAGAAGCCTTTTTTTTTTATAAGCCGCAGAGCATGCCCCGCCCACCTACTTCTCGATCGTTCGGGGTGACGTTTATTTTTCTTTTTTTTTACGGCATTTTATTTTGCATGGTTTTTATCTTTTGTATTCCCGCACGCCTAGTCGAAGCTTCTCCCGTAGAACAGTTTCTTCACGCCGAACGACGCTCGGTCAACAGTTACAAAAGTGAGTATCTAGCGCCCGCGTAACGCCACGCCCATCCGCTTGCTTCTTCGTCGCTTCGCTTCTAACCCCTTTCCAGAACCGCGCGAGTGCCTTCCAGGCGACCCGTACGTCACTTTCAAACTGTGTCTTGTCTTGCAGGTGGCGCCGCCGTCACGCTTACCCATTACCGCACGAACTATCACGCCGGTTTCCCGAAAGGTTCCTACGTTATCCCGAATCCCGTACATTTTCACATCGCGCGGCGCGGTCACGTGCCGATCATGCGACCCATGCTCGTGCCCCGTTTCGCTCGCTTCGATTTTCACCCGAAACCTGCCGTCGTAACGCTCACCCTCAAAGATTCTCGCTCGATCGCCGTCGACGTGTCACTGGACACCATCAGCGCTTTCGTACGCCCGTTCGCGCGCGCTTTGAACATTGTCGAGGTGCCGACGTTGAATAGCCAAGGTTGCCAAACCGCCTATATGAATAATTTCGAGAGGGCGCCGTGGTCGCACAGCAACGTCGAGTACACCCCGTTGTACGTTGACGAGCGTTCGAAAACGTTGCGAAAGTCAGTCCCAGGCGAGAGTTTCGAGGAGAGTATCCTGAGGGAGATGAAACGCAACATGATGTGCGTGGCCGGCGTGGTGGAGTTCGCCGAACACGACGCCCCCGTCGATAACGAGAGCCTTGCGGAAATGACCGACGAGGTGGCCACCATAAACTCCTCCGGCAGTTCGGAGAGCGACGGGAACGCCCTCGCGACCACCGACGAAGGTGTGAGCGATTTGACTTTAAACGGCGACTCGCCCGTCTCCTCCCCCGTGGACGACCGAATCGTGGCCATGGGAGCCGTGATTAAGGAGTTTCTGATCGAGCAGAGTTTCGAAACGAAGGAGCTGATCGTTTTCCCGGAGTTGAACGATGATGCGAGCGCCGCAAAGTTCGTCGGAGACCTGGTGAAGTTGTACTCGCGTCTATACGAGGATTCGTTGAATCCCGACGATAAGAACGAGCTGAGGCTCAAACTGGCCGGTTACGTGCTCAAACTGCTCGAACGCGACGACAGATTGCAGGACGACGACGATGACGGCGGCGACGGTGTTTACAACGTTTCGGATAAAATCTTCACGACAACGGAGTTCCTCTCGGAAATACTGGACGTCTTTTTCGACCGTTTGAATAACGGCAATTTCGCGGACTTTGCGGGGAACTTGCCCACCGATAAGGGCGAAACGTCTACGCCTCGAGCAGGCGGCGAACCGGCGGAAGTAACGTCGTTTAAAAAGGCTTCGAAATCGCATTCGGAAACGTACTGGATCATGATCGGGTCGTCGTCACCGAGGGTGTCACAAGCACCGCCTCGCAGAGTAATAAACGTGGACGATATTCTGCTAAGGCCTCCCGACGATTTCGATACCGAACCGCCCATGAAGCAGGCGAAGGAAGGAGTCGGCGTAGAACGTTCTCCGATCAGAGAACAAGCGAGAAAGAATCTGTTCGGCGCGCATCTTTCGCCGGACTTTGAGATATCGAACGATTCGTTCAAGTCCTTTAGCGAGGAGCGGGGGATCATCGAGGACAGCGAAGATGACGATAGCAGCGCAGCGGTCAACCAAGTCATGTTTGTTAGGAACCCGAACGTTAAGGAACGGTTAGTCCGCAGTGAAGCCAAAGTGATTTTCGCCGCCAAAAACGCGGCCGTCGATAAGGAGAACATCGCTCCAGACGAGGGCAACTGGATGGGCTACGAAAGCGCCAAGTTTTAATTCTGACGGTTTGGGTGGTTTTTGGTTTTTTGGCGCTTTCGTTTGGTGTGTTTTTTTTTTATTCCCGCTTTGCATTGTACCAATAAATTTCTTTTGCACTTTGTTTTGATCATTTTGCGAATGGTGGTGTGGGCTGCAGTGGTGGACACGCAGGAACGGTTGGGATTTTGTTGCTGTTAAAAATTTAGCGGCGAATTAAATTCCTCGGGAGTATTTGTAGTCAGGTGCCAGGGTTTTCGTTTTTGCCAGTCCCCATGCATGTTTGGAGATTAAATTTGTTCCTGCCTTTCACACACACTTTTGATATTAATTGCAATTCATCATCATTCATTATATAACTCGAGTTTCATTCAACGATCTCCCAGGTGCTTCCATATCTTTTTTGTGCTATACGAAGAAAATATTTAAAACACATTTTTTGAAATTCGACGCCATCCAGTAAATTACAAATATTAGCACAAAAATAAGAATAATATGAGTCGAATAAAACTAAATTTTATACAAAATGAAACTTAAAGGAAAAGGCAAGAGTGCAGCACACGGACTAATCTATTTGCTGATTTTTACATTTTTCTTTCCAATTAACACGACGTATCAGACCATGGTTTACATTTATTTAAAGTTTTTTCCTTCATTTTGTTTTTTTTTCCTTTTTACGTACTTGAAAGTAACCTGGTTTTAAATTTGAAGAAGAATGACACTGTAAGCTTAACTTCCTGTAATACAAGTATTCGCTACAAAAATGGAAAGCAAAAAATTAAGTTTTGGGGTTATAGTTAATCAAACAAAACTCCCTCTTTCTCCTAACCGGAAGATATCGGAAGCAATCAACAAATTGTGAAGATCTGACTGGCGTTATAGCTAGCGTCAGTTCGGTTACTGGTAGAAAAAAAATGTACATACGATTTACTCATATTCACATTGCTCTGTTACAAAGAGGAAAACTCTCCTAGTACATTAAAATCACTTGTTGGAATGTTTCATTTAAACAGTTATTTATTATGCTTTTCATAGAATAATTTTTTAAAATTCCTTTGACATTAAACGAAACTCTGAAGTAGTGTTGTGTCAATCGCGATCGATTCCGTCACTTTGATTCAATCACTTCACAGGATCGAACGACCAAAACCCGCTTATACGTTGGTTTAATTGTTGAAGATTTAAATGCATGACTGAGGTAGGCCGCAGAAAAGGAATGGGAGTGTTGTTATAAATTATTCTATAGTATTGAGTTGCGACATTGATTGGTAGATTTGCTTATGTGTCGAATTGAATATTGAATCAAATATCTATTTCCACACAGGTATTTAATTTAAACAAATTAATTTTTTACTGGTACAACCCAATATGTAGCACCTATTTAGATAAAATCGTGATTTAATAAAAAGCAGAACACAGCTAAATATTATACTAACTAGAACAGAAAACAACATAAAGACACAACAATAATTCAAATGAATCTGAATGGGGCTTCGGACCGTTCGGATTTAGTGACTATTGTCGCTTATGTCGGCATCAAGTATTGAAATGAACGATTGATTGAAAAGATTCGCTCCTCGTAAAATGAACGATTGACACAACACTACTCTGAAGGGCCATAGTTCAGCCCAAAGAAAGGTCTTGACATAATATTTTAATTTTAAAAAGAAGTAACTATGATATTTAAAGGAAAAAAATTAATATTAAAATTTATTTAATTCGGTTCATGGTTCAGTAACCAATTTCAATAATAATTGTTTTTAGGTGAAAACACTGTCAACGGGGACCAGTCAGATGCTCATGTGAGTACCCTGTCACAGAGCAGTAAAGAGGTAAGCAATAAAATACTTCTTCGTTATTAAAAATATACCGACCATTTTCAGGACCGCTCCGTATCTGAAGGGTCTCCAAAGAAAGACAAGAAGAAGAAAAAAGGTTTAAGGACGCCATCGTTCCTTAAGAAGAAAAAAGAAAAAAAAATTCGTGAAGCATAGGTAAGGTCATTTTGTTCCCTGGTATGCTTTCTTATTTATTGTTATTATTAGGCACTGCCCCGTTAATCTAAATAAGAAAAAACGCCTCCTCCATCGAGACTGCCAGCGATAAATTTCAGTTAAATATATTTCGTAGTTTATAGCAGCAGCTAAATTTCTTTGCACTAAACGTGACACGGGACTGCATTGGTCTAACCATTAAAAAAATTAAATTTCTATAATATATTTTAGCTTATTTGTACAGGATCATGATTTATTATGACTTATTGATTAGTACATTTTCAAATAAGATTATATAGGTATTTAGGGGAGGACAGAACGAACAATGTCAAAAGAACAATCTGCCCACACAGTCTAAATTCATGCTGAATGTGGTTATATGACATCACCAAAGTTTTTTTGAGTTGTTTGTTATAATTATGGAATGTAAGTGCCCAAATTTGAAGTTTTATTTGTAAAGTGATATTTTTGGTTAGCGTTACATGTAGCATTCAGTTTAAATATGAAATAATATACTACCACATAATCTTCAAAATTTGGCACAGAATTTGTGGTGTAAAATTGCGACTTATCTTTGGATTAATAATTCATCTTGACTGCCAGTGTTATTCAATTGTCTGTGGATTTCAGAAGTCTCTGTGAGTCTTTTCTTTCTGTTTTTTTGTTTATTTTGAGAATGTTTTATAGCCAGTATATAGTTTTCCATTCCGCAAAATAATTTTATTGTGATGGTGATCTCTAAAGGTAAATGATCGGTGAATTGACAATATTTTGAAACTATCCAAGGAGAAGTTGCAAGCGTAATTTTGCAAATGTTTTATTTATGTAAATTTTTTTGATATATATATGCTTTTGTCTTTTGAGTTTGCTGTTACTATATATTTTTTGTATGAAAAGAGATAAGCTATAAGAAAATGTTATTGCCATATAATAATTTTCATATATTTTTTTTCCAACGCGCCGGGAGTAGGGACACTTGTTCATATAGTCTTATGTATTTTAAAATATTTTGCACAAAAGAGTACTCGTTTTTATATATATATATATACTTTTTTTTTGTTTTCCTAAATAAACAGCTTTTCTCGCCATTTAGTTTTTTTCTTTGTTCTATATGAAGTGTACTGTGCAAGTATATGTTAGTTGTACCTCGGGATAAATGCCATAGTTGTACCCATTTAAACAGTTGTTAAGGGAATATAAGATTAGCGTTGGGAGTTTTTTATGTCTCATTAATAAAAGTTCCTCGCTCTGTAACAATCTCAACAAATTTATTGATTACCATTGCTCCTGTTACATGATTGTCATTGTGATTCTCATCCAGTGTTATTGTTAAGTTTTTATGGTCAAACTTTCATGCATTATAATATTCATAATGCATTTTAAAGTTATACTATATTCACTATAACTAAATGGATTTATGCTCAAATTATGATATTTTGTTAAGAAACCTGCATATTTCTAACATAAAGAATTCCCTTCTCATTGATATTTAAAGAAACTAAAAATTGTGTGATAAAGCTTTAAAATAATGAATAAAATTCTTATTCATATTCTATTATTATATTTGTTAGAATAATTTTTTTTACAGGATCTAGTGGCGTAGACGAATGAGAATCCGTTTAATTAGGTAAATACCACTTTGGATACGGTTTAGTGAAAAATATAATGACTGATTTTCATAAGGTAAATTTCTGGCCGGATGCACATATTTTGGCGAAACATGATGGTAGTGTATTCCACCTTACACCCGATGTGCAATTTCATAGCCTAAATTAATGGGATTTCCAGTAGACACATAGCGTTTGTTCTAGCTGGAATACACTATCCCAGGTATTTTCTGAATCTTTCCTTTCTCATGGCACTAGGCATGTTTTCCCTACATTCCTTCACAGTCTTTTGTAAAAAAGAGCAGTGTCAAAGGAATAGTTTACTTTTATTTATAGCTTTTAGAACAGCTGTTAATTTAAAAAAGAAAAACTTCAACTAAATACCGTCTTTTATTTGGGACACAATCCCAGGTATGATTTGAACCCAATTTCCAACACCTCTGAGAACCCCCTACATTTTATTTTTAAGGAGGATAACCAATGCAACAGCGACTTTCATTTCGAATGTATAAGCAGTTTTAAAATTTCCTATAATTTTTTTTTCTGATTTGCCACATGCGACGAAATTAATTAGCTGCAGCAAGGACCAATAGGTGTTCAAGTTTGAGCCAATAGGTATTTCGCGCGCGCGATAGCTGCGCCATCTCTTTGTAAATCATGCAACCAATTAGCTTGAGCACGGCCCAATGGTGAGGCGCGTGCGATAATATCGCTATAGAATACTTAGTGCCACGAATATTGCGAATTACTGAGGTGAATAATTTCTTCTTCTTAAATTTATTCATCAATGGACACGTATATGTAGCGTTATACCAGGACGGCAATTTTGCGCACTATAGAAGAAGAATAATTTGGGGTTAAATATTTAAGGTTATGTCATACTTATTTGAACTGGTGCTGTTATTTAACGAAAGATAGCTTCATCTATTTCGTATCATAATCCTGTTTGCCCCCAACTGGAAAAATGGAAGTTCCTGGCTTTGAAGCAGGCGATACTAATGATGAGGCGATATTCAACATGAAACCTAGCCAAAAATCTAGGAAGACGGGAGGTTTCCAATCCATGAATTTAAGTATCACCGTTCTAAAAGGGATAACGAAACGGGGTTATAAACAACCTACGCCTATTCAGAGAAAAGTAAATCGATCTGTTTTAGATTTTATTGCTACTTTATTTTCTATGTTTCAGACTATACCTCTGATTTTGGAAGGTAGGGATATTGTCGGAATGGCCAGGACCGGGAGTGGGAAAACAGCTGCGTTTCTGATACCAATGTTTGAAAAACTCAAAAGCAGACAAGCAAAAACTGGTGCTAGAGCCTTGATATTGTCACCGACTAGAGAGCTTGCATTGCAAGTAACTGACAATTGATAATTTACCATTTTCTTGCTTATGAATAAGTCGAATTTATATTTCAGACACTTAAGTTCATAAAAGAAATAGGAAGATTTGTGGGACTAAAGGCTGCGGTTATTCTGGGCGGAGATTCCATGGAAGATCAATTTTCTGTAATACATGGAAACCCCGATGTTATAGTGGCAACACCTGGTCGATTTTTACACATATGTATTGAGATGGAACTAAAACTGAACTGTGTAGAATATGTAGTATTTGATGAAGCGGATCGTCTGTTTGAGATGGGTTTGAGCGAGCAGTTGGGGGAAATTTTAACACGGTTACCTGATGCGAGGCAAACAGTATTGTTTTCAGCCACACTGCCTAAGGTGTTGGTGGAATTTTCCAAAGCTGGTCTAAGCGATCCCGTTTTGATCAGGTACCTTTAATCTCAGTTATTTGGTATTACGTAATTCAAAATTTGCTTTAGATTGGATTTGGAATCAAAACTGCCTGAAGAGCTAAAATTGTGTTTTTTCACTGTTCGTCATGAAGAAAAAGTTGCCGCTTTGTTGGTATTGTTAAAGTCAGTGGTAAAAAAGGACCAGCAGACTGTTGTATTTGCCGCTACTAAATACCATGTGGAGTATCTACATACTGTGAGTTGTTAATATGTTGGTTCAAATATCATTAGAGGTTTTATTTGACACCTTTTCAAAAATATAAATAAATTCATAAAAATACCTGGTACCACAAGATGAAACTGTAGGTTTTCAAGAAGTTGTGCGCATAGTAATAAAGTAGGATAAAAAAAATGTTTTTCTCATTTTGTACATTTTACAATGAATATTTGGTGTCTGCTATAATTAGGGCAGGAGACTAGACAATGTGTTGTTATTGCTCCAATTTTTTTAAACACCTTTCATTTTTCGCTGGCTTTTTACCATATTTTTACTAGATACTGGAACAAATGGGGCTAGAAAATGCATACATATATTCCGACTTGGATCCGTCCGCACGTAAGATCAACGCTGCTAAATTTAGCCTGGGCAAAGTTAAAATACTGATCGTTACCGACGTGGCGGCCCGCGGTATCGATATACCCCAGTTGGACAACGTTATAAACTTTAATTTTCCCGCCAAACCGAAATTATTCGTGCACCGTGTTGGTGAGTAAATTTTCCCTGAGAGGCGCGCGCTTCGAAACTGGGACCCTATGTTTATAGGTAGGTGCGCAAGAGCGGGAAGGTCTGGCACAGCGTATTCACTAGTAGCGTCTAACGAGTACGCTCACCTGTTGGACTTGCATTTATTTTTGGGAAGACCAATGCCACTCGCTACGACCACCAACGCAGATGGTGCGATTGGGAGAATACCTCAATCTCTGTTGGAGGATCAAATGAGCTCTTTGCTAATTGTTGAAAATCGTTCAGACGTGGTACTAAGCATTGTATACAATCTTCAGATTTTAATGACCTTAAATTTGAAAGTCGCATTTCACAGTTTGGTGACAAATATGATATTTTGTTTCTTAATGCGAGAGAGTAATAAAATGTAAATCTGCAATGACAGTGATTAATACAGCGGGTAGACAAATTGAAGGTTATCTCGTAAATGGTGGTTCCAATAAATTCTATACTTCCGCTTTTAAGACCTACACACCTATCCTAGATTAGGGTAACACTAATTTGCACACAATAGAAAGACGAGTTGGTGAATGAAAGTAATAATATGTGTTACTGCAGGTGATTTATCAGAATACTGAATGCAATAATAATTATACATGATTATAATTAAAGAGAGAGACGATAATTGAGATATTATTCTAACATCAATTAAATAACAACTTAGAAGTAAGAATAATATGGAAATAGATAAATTGTAATAAATATTCTAAAAATCTACTATTTACAATACAACTTCATTTGCAAATTTTAGTTTTGGTTAGATATTTAGATATTCTGACTAGTTGAAGTCCATAGAAATAATAAGTATTTTCTAGCATGTTATCAGCTTGCCACATTCTTCTATTTCATTCACTTGTCCAAAGTACTTATTGCATTTTTTGTAATTCACTGTTTTAATTTTCTCTTGCAAGAGAATCTCAATGTCGTTCATTTTAAAAGTGGTGTTATGTGAATTAATTAATTAATATTCTCGAAACCCCCAGGTAGGCCTATGGAATACGGCTAAGACCACCAAGTTCGATAATGATTTATAACTCCTTCGCATTAAGAAACTGAGCATAGCTGGAATCACTCTATGTGATGTCCATGTTGAATTTCTAGGCATATTATAAATAGTTTGTTGGGTCACAAGTACTAGAGAGGTTTAAATTAATGATTATTTGTAGCAAAATTTACAAACAACGGCCGACAACGGTTACAAACAATATTTGAGGTCCAGGCAAGCGGCGTCAGCCGAAAGTAACAGGAACGTGAAAGATTTGCCCTGGTCCAGCGTTAGCGTTCATCCGATCTTCGGGAAACTAGTTGAACGAGTTAATTTAGAAGGAGAACACTTTATGGACCGAATGAAAGCGTACAGACCACAGGGGGTAAGAGAGGCGAGGCGCTTACGGTAAAAAATGTTAGTTTGACACTTGATACTCTTAGACGATCTTCGAAATCTGCGGTAAGAACAAGTCCCAGGAGTATTTGGCGATGAAAGAGAAGCGGGCTGCACATAAACAGAAAATCCTCGATCACCGGCGGGAGTTGGAGGAGAAAATGGCGGCTAAAGAGCAAAATTTGTTTCAACCTGCGGCGAAATTGCAGACGAGCAATGAGGAGGACATCAGTCGCGGTTTCAGCGACGTCGTCGTGCCGAAGCGAATGCGAATGGACAGCCTGTATACTAGAAAGAGAAAGGGGCGGGATGTTTTCGTGCCGTACGCGTCCGAGGATCGACACGCGGAAGAAGGGTAGGTCTATGCTTAATTAGCATTTCAAGGTAAACAATATTACGACACCTGGCGGAAAATGTCAAACCATTGGGTGATACAGTGAGGTTATTTTTTTATTATTATCGTAGTGGACGTTTTGTGACTGTTGAACATGAAAAAATATTGTTCATTTCATACTTTTATGCCTCTAAATATACATTATTTGTAAAGGACGACCATATACATACCTAGTCAAAAATTAAAGAAATGCGGAAATATGTTTAGAACAGCCACCATCCTTACATAAACAATGCATGCTTTTAGGAACCTTTTTTTTTAATTTAAAACTCACCAAATATTTGTGCAGCACTTTTTTTAAAAGTAAATGGTACCACGCAAAACAATATACCCTGCATTAAAAAAAAACTGATTTTTCTGTAATCAACATAGATTGTTTATCGTTCCCAATATATCTCAATCAAGCTTAATGTTAATCACGTCGAGAAAAAAACAAATTATTCCCAAAAATAATTTAAAGTAAATGAATTGGCAAGCAAATTTTATACGTAAATTGTAGGGATTTCAAACTAACAAATTTCACAAAAACAAAGCCCGTGTCTCTTGTTTTTCCTTTGCTTTGTAGAGTAAAATATTTAAAAGTAATTAGTCAGGTTATGTTTCAATGTATCACATAATAGTTCAAACGTTCACCGTTGAAGGAGCGGAATTATCGTTGGTAGTTCAAACATACCACAAGGTTTGCGCAAATATCTTCGGTTTGCCTTCAAACTTGCTGACGTTTCGCTTGTTGACACTAAAACAGAAAAACAGCACAGCACAACAGCAACAGGATGGTTCGCGAAACGTCAGCAAGTTCAATTTACCAACAACCGGCGCAGGAGGAATCTAGATTTGCAAATAGTATTATGGAAGTTTCCTTGAAAAAAAAGTCTCCATTTTGAAAGCTTCAAAAATCGCAAAATTTTACCGTCTTAGGTTACTGGTAAACAATTTCCAAAAAGAGGCGAAGAGGGCGGAGCTGGAGCTGGTCGCCGACTCGGAACAAGCGTTGAAGATGACAAAGCAGATGAAGAGGTGGGACAGGAAGAAGAAAAAGATGGTCAATGTCGAGGTAAATTCGCATGACTATGAATTATTGTTGCCCAATTTGGTTTTTCGGTTGCGCAGGATCCTAGGAAAGGCAAAATAAGGACGGAATCGGGAGTATGGATTCCGGCCACCTACAAGACGAACCGCTACGCGGATTGGAAGGAGAAAACCAAGAAGACTATTATCGGTGGTGACGACATCGACGACGAAGATAGAAGCGCAAATCGAAACGGTATAAGAAAAATTACACTTTTTTTTTTCATTTCATTCGCTTTTCTTCAGCCTTTTCAGGCCGTAAGCGTTACACCCATTGGGCAAAGCACAACGAAAAGGTGAAGACCAAACAGATGAAGTCAGAGATGAAGAGTACCGGTCAAATACTAAAAGCGAGAGAGATAGCAGAGCGGAAGAAACAGAGAAGCAAGAAGAAGACGAAACGGACAACGAAACGCAAGAAAACCCAAAAATAACTATCCCCTACATAGTTAATAAATGTTGCCAAATAAAAAACTTGTTGGGGTTAATAAGATAATTTGAGAGGGCCGGGGTGTAATCTTAATTGCGTTTTAAGTAGTTCACAAGCTAATAGTACAATAAATAGTATTCTCACTTCATCTGGAATGTCGCAGTACCGAATTCGCATGTCTATTTAATTGAGAAAATCCAGTAGGTCTTGACTAGTCAGTTGGTTGTTGATGTTATGACTATTGCCGGTAGATGGCGCAGGCGTCAAAATATTTGGTCGCAAAGGTCCGGTGGGCAGGTTTGAATTATAAACGTCTAATGAAAACGTGTTGTCTATAGTCGACCAATTCTGTTGGGGCGGCAACGGATTCCCGGCAGGTGGGAAAGAAATCCGGTGCCCCAGACTCGGGGAAGCCCAATTTGCCGCCGCCGAGGTGACCGGAGTGGGATTTGATAAGGTCAGATTCTTATTAATCAAATTTTCGAGCATTTCATTGGAACTACCAGATCTGGAGCCGCTCTTTTGGCTTAAAGGCAAATTGCTGGAACCCATAGTTGCGGAGCTTTGATCCCACTGGACACTCCTAGATTCCTTCTCTTTTTTCTGATCCGCCGACGGCCAATTATCGGAAAGCAGATCCATCGAAGTGTTGTTGGCAGGCGTCGAATCCTGTTTTGAACTACTCGGGTTGAGGAATTCTTGAACACTCGTTTCGAGCTTCGGCATTTGCATGGTAAGCATTTTCTGCTCGTCTTTAACGGAATTGAGTTGCTCAAGTTTTATTCGATGCTCGGTTTCCACCACCTGGATCATGTCTTTGACCAAAGTCACTAGCGCGCCGAACTGGGCCAAAGTGAGGCCGTTTTCGATGCACAAAGGGATGAGGAAAGGCAATATTCTCGTAGCCATTATTTCCTTGGTGATGCCGAGTTTCTTGTGTGTCATGGCGATTTTGTAAATGCCCAATATTCCCATCAAAACAGCCGGCTCCCGCGACGGTATTTGTGGCAGGAATGGTAAAATTTCATCTAGCACCAACCACTTGTCCAGGTGTTCCAGCAATTTCCCCACACAGAGCAGGCAGTTGACCCTCACTGACAGTGAAGAAGTGGACAGGCATAACTTCTTAATACGCGGCAATAGGCTATTTTTAACATTTGAATGATCTAATAAGCTGGCGAAAGTGGGTAAAATAGCCAGACACATTTCGTGGATCTGCACCATGTCACAGTCCAGACCTCTGTAGAGCATGGGCAGCACGTGCAGTTGAATATCTTCTGCTGGCGTTAGTTTTAGCAGAAGCTCCATCTTTTGAAGCATTATTAGCATTATCTAAAAAAAATCAGAAGTCTGTTTTGAGCATCTTGACTATTGTCCAAAAAACTCACCTGGATGGGTTCCATGAGTTTCATTAAAGGTTTCAGATATGGCAAAATATAAACACAGTATTCTTGTTTAGTACAATTCTCTGCTATGATGAGTATGTTGGGCAATACAAAGGGTACCATTGTCGGTTGCTTTAAATCCCTGACCAAACATGACAGAACCCTCTGTACTTTAACCCTGTGAGGTAATTTTGACAATACCTCAGGTAGGCCTTTATAAAATTGTGATTTTTGTAAGTTATCCCACTGAAGCAACGAATCAAGGTATGTTAAGGTTTTCACTCCAACATCATCAAAAAAGGGAATCTAAAATTTGCATACTTCATATACAAATTACATCTTTAAGATGAGACTTTAACTTAAAGCGCTTAAATATAAGTAATACATATGGTCCCACAAACTGACCTTAACAAACTGGTGAGCATCAAGCCTAGCCTCTGGTGGAATACTTAAGAGCAATCTGACAACTTCTCTCAGCTCTTGTGGTAACTCCATCAGTTTGGTAGAACTTAACCTGCTCAATTCTTGATTTCTTGACTTCATTTGATGCACTTCCTTAATGTTGGTGAAACACCGGTTATTTGGTGAATGCACCACATATGCCAACATCCCCAGGGAAAACATATCACTTGCTTCAGAATGGCTTTGACTTATAATGCATTCTGGTGCTAAGTAATTCAAATTTGGCTGGCACACGGCAGGTATAGCGGAAGTATAACTAAGAAACGGATATCTAGGGGCTTCATTCGGCGGGTTTGTGTTGATAACACAATAATCAAAACCAAAAATTTTCCAAACCCCCGAGGCGTTAATCACTATGCTCTCTGGGCAGATGTTTTTGTGTATTAGCTTACAATCATTGTGCAGAAACGCGAGGCCTTCACCCACTTGCAACAACCCATATTTAATTTCCAACTCGAAGAATTTGTAGTCGGACATGTTGGCAGGCTGCGGCATATTCATTGTTTGTCCAAGGACATTCGCTAAGCTCGCAAAAATGGGTTCAGTAGCAAAGGCAATACTCTCACGACTTTCTTCTAGGGGATGTTGTACTGTGAGAACCTGAGGGTGCCTGATCTTAGTCAATTGTTGAATGCCTCTTCTTAAACTCTCCAAAATTACATCTTTTTCATTTTTTGTCCACTTCTCTAGCTGGCGCTTCTCAAATACGAATATCGCGGCTTCCTCTTTGGTAGAACGTTTCGAGCCTTTGTACACTTTCCACATCAAACCCGGCCCAGCTGACGCGATATGAGTAGAGCAATCATATTCTCTAGTTACTGGGTTTCCAGGGAGAACTCCCGATAACTGAGAAACCGTGTTGCTTACCGAACTACTCACTTGCGAATACAATTTGTTGAAAACATCCATGTCTACAGTTATTTAAATAGTTTAATTAAAATTGAAAGCTCATGGGGAAGAAGTAAACAAAAATCTGTGCGTACACTTTCGCACAGATGCATAGATCGCAAAAAATAAAAGTGGTTAGTCACATATCACAAATGAAGTTTAATTGGTAACCTATGGTCAAATATATGGTCGATGCTTATGACCTCGTTAGTTCTCATTCCTCAACACTTGGCAGTTCCTCTAAGGCGGACTATTTTAAGCGAAGGGCGAAGTTACATTAAAATAAATAAGAGTAAATAACGAGTTTTTATTGTTATTCCCATTATGGCAAAAAAAGTTCATCAAACGACACATGCTTGAACAGTCCCTGAGCTACCGTCCTTGCTATAAGAGTAAATGCAGATTCAATGCCGCCACCCATTTCCTTGAATACTTCCTGCCAGTTTTCGTTGAGGAATTTGTTAATATTGTCGCCTAGTAACAGAAAACATAACCAGATATTAATAAAAAGTCAGACGTAGGCAACCAATTGTTTAAGTAGGTTAGCTTACCCATTTCTTTATTTCCCCCGAATAGACCTTCGTAGTTAAAATACGCGCGATCTATGGTCAACTGAAACTTGTCATTGGGTTTCATTATAATATGCTGCGCACCATTTCTGTTTTCTAGCTCGTATTCGTACGTATACTTGAATCGAACGTTGTCTAAAAACAAAACAAAAACGTTTACATCAGAATTAATGAAAGGGAAGATTTTAGGGTGATTTTGGCATCCCACTACTGACCCACGGTGGAATTTGAATTGCCTTTTCCTTCGATCGAAAGGATTAAAATTTTGCCGTTCACTTCGTAAGGCGATATTAACGAGGCTTGTTTTATGTCCACCTGAATTTCTACTTTTTTGGCGTCGAAATCGACCCTGGAAACAAAAAATGTTAACAGAATAGTGATGTTCTTAGTGGCTACTATATACTTGGCGTCTGTAAGTCTCGCCTCGGACAAACCGTACAGGTATGCGTCGTGAAAAGTTAGCGATAGTCCGTGGAGATTTTCCAGCTCAAGTTTTGGAATCATCAACGGATTCAGGTTGGGGATTCCTAGAGTCTTATCGCCGTTCACTATGTGACTGATAACAATATTGCCCTGCTCAAGAAAGCAGGATGTCAAGCCTTTAGAGCTGATCGAGCAAGGGTTCAGGTAGGAAGCTGGAACAATAAGTTTCCTGTTATAATACAGCATGCGTGAATAACAAAAAAATACGCGAATAAGCATAGCTATTAAAGTACGCAAGGGCAAAAATAATCGCCATTAATTGATTAAACATCTAGCAATTTAGAAAAATGTTTTGATAGCGTTCATCTAAAAAATCACCCAGAAATTATAGAAATTAATATGTAATAAGCTAAATTGCGTTTAATGGCCTTGCGGATGAATAAAATTAAAATGCATATACACGGGGCGTCGTCAGTTGTGCATTCCGCATTCAATCAAAATGTATGATAATAATAATTAACAAACGAACTTCGACTGTTTGGTCGATTTGTCGTAAAATTTGTGCGCCTCAGGCGGCTATGACATTTTCCTACTGAATTTAATGCGTTTTGGTCATAATTGCATATGGCACATCCAAAACTGGAAACTGTGGAATTGGAAAAAAAAATCTCGTTTTTTTAACCTATGAGCTTGCGGCATTCAACAAGCAACCGTTGGCCGCTGACAGATCGTCAATAAGTTTAAATGCGGAATTTTTACAAAATATGACTAAAACCTATTAAAAGTTTTGAGAACACCAGTCAAGTGTCTGGCAATCGATCTTTAGTAAGAAATTTAAGGGCACAAACGAAAATTTTAAAACGAATGCAACACAATTATTAGGACTTGGAAAAATATAAAATTAAAAAGTGCATTAAATTTAGGAATAAAAAAATACGTCTTACGCAATGAAAACAAATAATCGTCATTGACCGTTATTTGCTCATTCTCTTGAGTTGAATTTTAAGATATTTAGGATGTAAGTGAAACGAATCTCCAAGGATATCATAAAGAAAATTTTTCTATCTCGCTTCATTTTTGACAAACTGTAATTGTTACGCCTCGTATTTCGGTTATTTTTCAACTAATCGAATATTTGGAAGCTGTTCCTTATACCTACAATTTTTTACGTATGTTTTAATACCGTTTTTTGGAATAATCGTACTGGGTCAGGTCAGGTCAGGAAATTATGGTTATATCTTTTTATGAGTCATGACACTAAGTCATGATGCATAAAAAAAAACACCAAAAGAATTGCTCGAACTGGTTGCCATTTCCACTCATTCATTTTTCTCACACGTTTGTAATTGTGTGCAATTGTTATACGCCGATATGATGAATTACCTGAAAGTGTTAAGGGCTAGAATAACCTCTCAAATTTCAACAGGTAATGTAGAAATGATATAAAACACATTATTGTACTTTAATAACGTATATATAGTGAAAACTCTATATAGCGAAATTGAAGGGACTGATTTTTTTTTTCGTCATAAAGATTTATAGGCACTTGAAAAATAACAATACGCATATGTGTATGCTTTTATATATACCGATAAAGGCATTAACATAATCGCTTATTATGAGACGACCAGGTTATCGGTAATTAGATCATTAAGGTCAGGTATTCTGAGAAGGTAAGAGACTCTATTAATTACAATAACAATACGCATATGTGTTCTGCAATATATTTTATACTACAACTACATTTAATGTTTCAAATAATCGCTCATTTTCTTTTGATTTTTTTTTAGTATGCCAATACGCATCTCGTACTTTGGCTTGTATTTTCACCACTTCTTCCCCATGATACATAAAAAATTTCTCTAGCAGCTTAACTGGATATAGGGGGTTGTTGGATGGTTGGTGGTAGTCCAAGATCAACTTCTTCTTCTTCTTCCTCTTGGTGCTCTTCCTGGCGCTTTCTTGCTAGTTGTAATATGACTTCATCTGTCAAGTCTGCTGTTGTAGGCAAATCCTGATCTATCACCATAAAATCTTGCAACTCCCCACTTGTAAACGTAATTGTTGTTTGAAACGGCTTTATCCATTCGCTTAGTGGCTGATCATTTTCCAAGTCTTGTTCGCATTTTGTTGAATTGTTTCTGCTGTCATCACTTTCCAAGCTTTACTAAAGTTGACTGCATTTAGCATATTAATGGAAAATTTGTCTTGTCTTTGTCTCCTTTAATCTCCTCTTCAAAAATTTGCGATATCATCCATGCAGACTTGTTTGCCTTGTAAATGACCGGCAAATGCTTGATGTCCTTAAAACATCGGGAGTTAGCTGATTTTCCAATAACGACCAGCTTTATTTTTTCTCTCTCACTCATATTGGCAGCTACTAACAGTGTTATACGTTCTTTAGAAAGTTTTCCACCCACACACTTTTCGCTTCGAAATTTAAGAGTTTTACCTGGCGTCATTTTGTAAAAAATACCAGTTTCGTCAGAATTAAAAATGCCGTGAGCAGGGTACTTTTCTGCTAGTTTTGGGCATGTCTTCTCCAGTCAATCGTTATTGACGTTTCTGTCGACTTCACGGGCACCGCCACTTATCTGTCCATAATTTATACCATGTCTCTGTTTGAACTTCCCCAACCATCCTTCCGAAGCCTTGAAATCGATAATGCCAAGCTGTTCAGCAAACTTTTCTGCTTTTAGTTTTACGATAGGTCGAGAGAGTGATACATTTTTAAGACGTTGCTGTTGGAACTACTGCAACATTGCCCTGATCCAAATCTTCAAATTTTGGCTTTCTTAGTTTTTTACTAGAACTGCCTGCTGCTTCAGCCTGAACGATTTTTTCTTTGCACTTCCAAATCGTGGATACAGTCGATGGTGTAAGCTCGTATCGATGACTCACATCACTTTTCTTTTCTCCCCGTTCTATCTCCCGAATTAAAGCAACTTTATCATCTAGAGATAAAATTTTTCGCTTACTCTCCATGCGCACCGTATTCACTAAGTCAAATTAGAACTGATTAAAACAATGGTGTGCTTTTATATATACCGATAAAGGCATTAACATAATCGCTTATTCTGAGAAAAACACTTAGGACGACCAGGTTATCGGTAATTAGATCATTAAGGTAAGGAATTCTGAGAAGGTCAGAAACTCTATTAATTACCAGTCGGCCTTACATTCCTTATTTTGTTACCTGTTGGCTCTTTTTTGTTTCGGTATAGAGTGGATTAATACATAGCTTTGTTTGAAGACCTAATAGTACAACAAATATTGTTCGTAACACAGAGTTTCACTATAGGGAGTTTTCACTGTACCTGTTTTGTTTCGTTGTTACTGTTAGCTTTAGTTAGCGAATCGCTAAATGAAGTGATTATTATCATCCCAAAAATCAATCTTTAATTATTGTCTTTAGTGGAGCGCCGTAAGGTTTATACCTCGGAATCCAGGGCCAGTCAAATAAATCTTTTTATAAACTTTGGAAATGTGTTTTTAATAGCATATAGAAAAATTAAAAAAAAATATTTTGTGCGATCTTAATTTTTTAATAATTATTATAGATAATTATTAATTTTTTGGAGTTTTCCTTAAGTGATATTAGTGTAAAATCAGATTTTAAAAAGAGGAAGTATTACAAACTTCATCTTGGGTCTCAAGGGACTGCAGCAGCAGCTGTTGGGTGTTGTTAATGCGGGCCCTAACAGAAAGCTAAGAGATATTATAAAAGTCACTAGAGGAATACCAACACTGAAAGCTGCTTCTGTGGAAAGAGGGGATGGACTTTCTCAGTATTTAAATACTTCCGAATTTGTCTACGTGCATTCAGTATGCAGACGAAAATATATCAATAAAGGATGTATTAATGCTTATTTAAAAAAAAAGAATACCACATCAACATGCTCTCTACCTAAAAAAAAAACTGCGAACGACTACTTCTATTGATTTTGATTGGAAAAATAAGTGCTTTTTATGTGAAAAAGAAGCGGATGAAATGAAGGAAAGAAGAAAGTCCAAATCGGTAAGCCACCAAATCAGCTACGTAACTACTTCTGAGTTCAAGCAAACTATTTTAAATTTGATAAGTGAAGAGAAAAGCGAATATTGTCGCAATATCCATAAAAAAATTGAAGGTGTGTTAGATCTAGTAGCTCAGGATGCTAAGTATCACGCGGATTGTTATATGCGTTTGAAAACTACTGTAAAACAGACCCAGAGGGATAAAAAAATTCATCCAGTCACAATACAAGTAGATGCAGCAATGGAGCAGATTTTCAAATATATTGAAGAAAATGATGACTGCCAGATTTCACTGGCAGAATTAAAAAGTATTGTGAGAATTGATCATATTCCTGATGATAAAACGATAAAAATGAGGTTAATGAACCATGAGGATAATATTGTATTCTCCAGTAAAGTAGGATCTAATACAATCATATGTTTTAAAAAACAACAATATGCAATACGTAAGCTTTTTTTCAACGTAGCGAAAACGTGTTTGCAAAAAATTTCGAAAAACGAACGGAATTGCAAAATGCTGCGACAGTTTTTAAAAATGAATGCAAAGACATCGATAAAATTTTTAAAGCTGGTGTTACATGCACTCTTGCTTTATACAACGCCCCCCAAAAAATAAAATATCTTAATGTATTGAGATATAACTCTTTTTTGAAAGCAACTGCCAAAAATACCTGCGTTAAACGGCCGTCTTTACCGCCTACTGCAGATGCCGCTTTTGAACACTTCAAAAGAGTATATTTACAAGTTCAAACGTGGTTCGGAAAAGAAATAAAAATTGTTGTAATCGAGATCGGCCAATTTTTTTTGTTACATTTTAATTTGAAGTTTTTATAATGCAGTCAAACACTTGTTATACAGATTCATTGACTTGTCCTGGGTTCCGAGATTTTATCATTTTTATGCCTTACGGCGCTCCACTACTTGCATTAAAGTTGAAGAGCACACGTAAAATAAACCCAAATGACACTTACGTATTTTGCAATCGATATATCCAAGAAGGGCGGCGATTAGGTACGGTATTAGCCACATGCTGAGAAGTGTATAGTCGCTGAGGATGAAAACTAACAAACTTCGTTATCTTCCTCCCTTCTCGACCCATTTATATACCCGTTACAAATTGTTGCACTATTTCAATCAGCTAAACGCTTTTAATTGCCTTTTGGTAATTTACTAATTAATTTATCATCAAGGAAAATTTTGTTGTTTTTTTTGGCAAATTGATTACGGAAATAACATTCTGATTGGTGTTATAGTCGTTTCCTTGAAGCGTACAGTATAAAAAAATCTCGGCTACACACGCGAATCCATATTGTTACCAAATCACGAAACGAAATTGGTAATAAATGCATATTTTATTTCGAATATAAACTCCATTAACATTTGTTACATTACATCTATTGGGAGTTGGAAGACTTGACTTGGTCCTGAAATTTCACAGTCTAAAATTTTCTTTGATACTTGCATTTTATTATATATAGAGAACTTCGAAATTTAAGATTTTTGAAACTAATGCTGCTAAAATGGATGTAAAACTTCTTATTTATTGTTATTGCTTTTTTTGGAGTCCGCGGAAGATCCTAGACATATTTCGAATATCTATACCGTTTCTGACGTTTGCAGATCGGACAGCTTTGCCGTGAATTCAGTAAATTTGGAATGCTGCGTAACTAGCATGGGTTTGCACAGGAAAATATTATTGAGTTTAAAATCCAGAAGAATACATTGGATGCTTCAGAAAACCCCAAGTTTTTGGACGTGTTCATTGACAAAAATTTGCGATGGGCATGTCATATAAATCAGTTGCAAAATAGATTAAATTCGATAAATTAAAAATAATTTATTTTGCAAACGTTAAATAGGCACTTAAGTATGAAATAATGTTTTCGATTCGTCACCCTAGAATATAGAAATATTTTTGTATCCCAAAACAATTGTAAAAAAAATCTTCAAATGTTTAATGTTTTTAGGTAGAAATTTGAACCTTTTTCAAAATCTAACGAGTACTACTAGAGCAATAAGAGCTGACAATATAAACCATCCGGCACATCGTCTACGAATCACTGAAACAGGACGTACAAGAGATTACCAGTGAATATTAAACGGATTGATAGTACAAATTGAAAAACTATTAATTCGGATGGAACCTTATTACCTTGATGACTATTTTAATATGTTCTAGGCTTGTAAAGGTTTTTTCTGTATGTTTAATCTATGTTTGTATGACACTTTTGTTATTTCTGTTTGACGTCGTTTCACTTTGTTATATTATGTAAAAAAAATGTAATAAATACTATTATTATTATAAATTGCTTGTAATTGATCATTAAAAATGTACCTTAACCATCAAATAGGTTTCATCATCTGGCAATTTTATCAAATAGAATTATTTTCACTATGTATATTTGGATAGTTTTTTGATGTGCTCAATAGGCACCACCCAAAATGATCAGAAATTAGAAAAAAAAATCATGCGAAATCAATAGGCAAATCTTGGCAGCTATATTTGTAAACCTCACATTAGCATAATATATAATTTAGGACCGCATCTGGCTGGATAATGTCCTAGTTACATCAATAATGCTTGGAAAAATTATTATATTGTGACGAACTAACCAAAACTAATGGGTCCCATAATAAGTAGATATAGTATGCAACATGTTTGAGAAACTTCATAAAACACATCAACACATTTAAAACAAAGCGCATACCTGGATATTAAAAAATATGCCACCAAAAACTATACATAGAAATTGATATTACAGATTAATTCACCACACTCTCGAAGGTGATTTCTAAAGACAGGCTGACCTCATCTGAATACGAAAAATTAAAGATATAGTTCATTAAAAAATATCTAAAATTGACAAATTTTGAAATAAAATTTCATGAATGTAGAATGTTTGGATTTTATATGTTTTGGATGCTAATTTCAAAGATTTGCCTACAGCGTGGCTTCTCAATTTCTCCGTCAATCAAATTAGGCGGTGTACTTGTTTTTAAGATAAAAATATTAGGAAAATTGTCACTTAAAAATAATTATTTACTACTATTTCATTTCAATATATAGCTAATAAACTTTTAGTATCGCATTTAAGTTATAAAACAAATTTTATTACAAACATCTAATTAGTAATGGATAAAATAATAACTTAACCTAAAATTACTATTATTAAAATACTTAACAAATGAATAATTCAAAACTATAAAAAAAACATCTGCTCTCAAAAATAGAACCTTTCAAGAGACAAACACAATGCAACATCTAAAAATAATTATACATATTTCAGTACCTACTACTTAGTTTTATGACCTTTATATTTATTAAGTTCATTGCATCTTCTGGGTATATTCCTATTCTGCTTTAATTATTTCCCAAAATTCTTGCTTATTTATTGTTTTATGCTTGCCAACTGCATTTTTAGGGAAAGTCAAAAGATTCGTAATCGGATTGAAATATGAAAAATCGGAAGGCCACGAAAGTAAATCCGCACCATTGTTACAAAATCAATGTTTCGCTTTTCTAAAAGTATGTTTTGCATCATTATCCTGTTGATACTTCCAAAGTAAGGCCATGTGATCCTCTGCAGATAGTAATATGATGTCCTGAAGAATATGAACATACATACATTTCTTAATTACTTTTTACTACATTTCTTAATTGCTTTCCTTGCTGGTGCAGCACGCAGGTTACTTGCCTGAAGACTTATCCGTCCTTGATGGCAAGATAGCGGGTCATCAGAATCACATATATGATTAAACCCGGTAAACACAAGTCATTGGACTTAACGTAGGAATAATAAGAAGAAGAAGAACTTATTTCTAACCCTGCCTCCATAACAAGGTTTTATGCCTTTTTAATGCATTTTGCACCATCTTTTTAGAACAATCGATAATATTGACAATTTCGCCCAACGATTTTCCTTCTTTTCTCTTTCACAATAAAAGGCAAAGGAAAATTATTTAATGATTTTGACATATACCTAAATGTTAGTGTGACCCTATTTCAATCACAACTTTATGGCTACCAAACGACTGATTCTTTTTTACGTATTTATTTAAAAATTTTGTTTTTGTGTTAATCATAATTTATTTTTAGGAAAAATCGGTATAATAAATGCAGAAACTCACCAAAATGGTTTGAGAAACATACAAAGCAAACTCAGTCTGTTTCTATGACCATGATTGTACATATTCTGTTTGCGTTTAAAAATAGTAATTTGACGACGACACAGCCGATCAAAAGATCTTTTTCGTTTTTGAAAAGTAATGAAAACGTTAGTCACGCGAATCCGTAACCATTACCTGCGCTTTGATATGCGTAAGCATTTTAATTAGCCGAAATATAAAATTTTGTCAAGGTAAAATTCAGCTTTGAACTTTGTCAGCGTTTTCTGTCAGATTATAGCCGCGTCTAACCGGCAAATAAATGTCGTTCATTAAGGTTTTAATGATGTGTTTTTAACTTTTTTTTCTCGATTTTATGGCTTTATAAATTATACGCGCAACACAAACACTTAATTCTTTTAGATTTCGGACGTCTACGTTCGTACCGTAATACATCTCGCGGTCCTTTTTTTTCATTTTTAATTTTATTTTGCACGACCAGTTTACGCAAATGTGGTTATTTGCTTTAATAAAAACAATAATAAATGCAATAAATCTCGTACAGGACGTCATGTTTTCTCTCGTTAACCGTTCAGGGCACTTTTTAATTTTTCTTTTCTTTATTATTATACGATATTTTTAATTTATTTTTTGTACTTTCTTAGTCCAAAATAACCAATTATGCACTAATAAGATCTTTTCGATGTATATTTATTTATTTTGTAACTATTATAATAGTAATTAAAAAAATATATAATACATAATCATTATCATCATGTATATTTTAACATTGATCGTATTAGTTTACGAGGACGTCAGTCTGGAGTACGGTATGGCGATCGAGTCAGCTTGCCTGGTGTTATACTCATGTCTACTAGTTAATGTGCGATAAGAATCAGCATTATCATGAACGTATAAAACAGATCTGTAGATGTAGGTAGAGGGCAGCGTCATAATCTCCAAATCTGCCCACCCCACAACACAACACCGTAAGACAACACTCTGTGCAGCAGACCGTTCTTAGGGCCAACCTTGTTAGACAGTGGCTGAGGTATCTTAACTTCATTCGATCTGGCCAGTCCATGACAGAATTCCGTCAATAACAAATCCCAGTAGAGTAATATTGTCTTGATGAAAAAAGTCTACTTTGCTACAAGAGAACGTAAGTTCTTGAGTTTTTGTGTTGGTTGAGGACTAGGTTGTTTACAGAGAAGGACTGAAGGACACCCACGTTCTCATCAACGTTTTCAGTAAGCATTCTATGTTTACTAGCCGTTGAGAGAACGGCAGTGTCATCCGCGAACAGGGTCACGTTTGGATTGGGTATGGATAGCGGCGGATGATTTATGTAAATAATGAAGAGCAGTAGCCCCAGTACCGAGCCCTGAGGAACGCCGGAGACAATTGGGAGAACGCTATCACTTGACACGCCGCCACTCTCAACTTCCTGAAACCTGCTGTCTAGATATGACTCTATTAATTGTAGACGTCCTAAAACTCTAATTTATTCATTAGTACGACGTGGTCAACACAGTCAAAGACCTTTGTAAGGTCATACAACAAGGCCATCGAAATCTCTCCATCATCATATCCGCGGACCACCCTGCTCACAAAGTCTATGAGCGCGTGGGTTATGGATTTCTTTTCACGGAACCCGAACTGAGAGTCGCTCAGAAGTTTGTGGTTTTCAAAAAATCGCGAAAGGCGGGTTTTTAAGGCTTTCTCGATCACTTTACCAAAGATAGGGATGATTGCAACTGGCCTAAAGTTATTTGGAATGTGTTTGTCTCCTTTTTTATAAACAGGAATTATTTGTTAAAGGCCGTCAGAGAGCCCACAATTTGCTCTCTCAGTATTTTTGAATTGAAGCAGTCAGTGGAATTTGAATTGCTCAGACTCATGATAGTGTCATGTATTTCGCTTTCTGATATGCATAGATATGCACATTGGAGAAGAAAAGGTTGAACTCATTGGGCGTGATCGAGTTGGGCGTGACTCTGGATGAT